CGGACCCTAACGGGCGGGTCGGGTCGGGTCGGGCGGACCCTAACGGGCGGGTCGGGTCGGGCGGGCGGGACATTAAAGTATGGTGCGTGTACACTTGGCACGCGTGAACCCTACGGGCGGGTCGGGTCGGGTCGGGCGGGCGGACCCGAACGAACGGTCGGGTCGGGTCGGGCGGACCCTAACGGGCGGGTCGGGTCGGGCGGGCACATGAAAGTATGGTGCGTGTACACTTGACACGCGTGAACCTAACGGCGGGTCGGGTCGGGTCGGGGCGGGCGGACCCTAACGGGCGGTCGGGTCGGGCGGACCCTAACGGGCGGGTCGGGTCGGGCGGGCGGGACATTAAAGTATGGTGCGTGTGCACTTGACACGCGTGAACCCGAACGGGCGGGTCGGGTCGGGTCGGGCGGGCGGACCCTAACGGGCGGGTCGGGTCGGGTCGGGCGGACCCTAACGGGCGGGTCGGGTCGGGCGGGCGGGACATTAAAGTATGGTGCGTGTACACTTGACACGCGTGAACCCTAACGGGCGGGTCGGGTCGGGTCGGGCGGGCGGACCCTAACGGGCGGGTCGGGTCGGGTCGGGCGGACCCTAACGGGCGGGTCGGGTCGGGCGGGCGGGACATTAAAGTATGGTGCGTGTGCACTTGACACGCGTGAACCCTAACGGGCGGTCGGGTCGGGTCGGGCGGGCGGACCTAACGGGCGGGTCGGGTCGGGTCGGGCGGACCCTAACGGGCGGGTCGGGTCGGGCGGGCGGGACATGAAAGTATGGTGCGTGTACACTTGGCACGCGTGAACCCTACGGGCGGGTCGGGTCGGGTCGGGCGGGCGGACCCTAACGGGCGGGTCGGGTCGGGCGGACCCTAACGGGCGGGTCGGGTCGGGTCGGGCGGACCCTAACGGGCGGGTCGGGTCGGGCGGGCGGGACATTCAAGTATGGTGCGTGTGCACTTGACACGCGTGAACCCTAACGGGCGGGTAGGCCTCGGGTAGGCCTAGGGGTAGGCCTAGGGGGTAGGCCTAGGGTAGGCCTAGGGGGTAGGCCTAGGGGTAGGCCTAGGGTAGGCCTAGGGGGTAGGCCTAGGGGTAGGCCTAGGGTAGGCCTAGGGGGTAGGCCTAGGGGTAGGCCTAGGGGGTAGGCCTAGGGGTAGGCCTAGGGTAGGCCTAGGGGGTAGGCCTAGGGGTAAGCCTAGGGTAGGCCTAGGGGGTAGGCCTAGGGGTAGGCCTAGGGTAGGCCTAGGGGGTAGGCCTAGGGTAGGCCTAGGGGGTAGGCCTAGGGTAGGCCTAGGGGATAGGCCTAGGGGGTAGGCCTAGGGTAGGCCTACCCCCCGGGTCCTATATGCTTCCGCAAGCCTTCCGACGGCCTTCCGCCGCCATCCGCCTCGTGTTGCTTCCTTCGGTTTCCGTGAGCGAGCGTCGTCATGAAAAAAACGAGGAACTTGCACTGGGCCGAGGCATTTCCCCCAAAGTAGGTACGATCGAAGACGAAGAGGGCGGGTTTCGAGGGATTGGGAAATACACGTAGGGTCACACTCGAGCAGATAAGAGGAGCGAAAAGTCTTAAAATAAGAGCTGTACGTGAAGAGAAAATATTGTTGACCCACCTGCCCAATGCACATTGTATTGTTTCGATTGGCGTACCCTTTCCGGGTTTGGCACCCTGATTTTTATCAGAGAAGGCCTTGAGCCTCAAACTGTGCCCTTGGCCCCCGAATTAAAACGGCTCCCGCCTGGTACTTCGTCACAAGGTTTTGAGAAATGATGTTTTCGCTTGAGGCACCCTTGCAATTTACTCAGGAATCGCGCTCTCGCATGGGATTTCCTCGACACTCAAGAATCGCGCTCTCGCTCCGGACCTCCTCACGATCCACTTGGGAGTCGCACTCCCGCTAATCACCTGCTAGCGATCCAAGCAGGATTCACTCTTCAACGACCCGCCCGTTCGACCCGCCCGTCGGGGCCTGCCCGCCCGACCAGCCCGTTAGGGATTGCAGTCGCCGCTCGCCGCCTTTCGCCCGCCTTCGATGCCCCTCGTTGCCCGTACTGGTTCCGCGGTCGCCGTCTCTCGCTGCCCTTCGTGGCTCCGTTGCTGCCCTCAATGGCCCCGTTGCTGCCCTTGTTGGCCCCGCATTATATGCCATTCGTGGTCCCCGCTCGCACGCGCCCGTCGTGGCCCCATCAGCATGCCCTTCGTGGCCCCGCTGTCTCCCTTCGTGGCCCTCTCGCTGCCCGTCGTGGCCCCTCTGCTGTCCCCAAGTGGCCCCGCTGTCGCCCTTTGCGACCCCATATTCGTATGCCCTTCGTGCCCCCCGCTCGTTCGCGCCCTTCGTGACCCCATACACATGCCCTTCGTGGCCCCACTGTCGCCCTTTCTGTGGCCCCCATCGATGCCCGTCGTGGCCCCCGTGCTAGCCTCAGCGACCCCGTCGCTGCCCTTCGCGGCCCCGCATTATAAGCTCATCGTTGCCCCCACTCGCTCGCGCCCGGCGTGGCCCCATACGCTTGCCATTCGTGGCCCCGCTGTCGCCCTTCGTGGCCCCCTCGCTGCCTTTCGTGGCCCTTTTGCTGCCCTCAATGGCCCCGCTGTCGCCCTTTCTTGTGGCCCCATATCTGTATGCCTTCGTGGCCCCCGCTCGTTCGCGCCCGTCGTGTCCCTATGTACATGACCTTCGTGGCCCCGCTGCCCCCCTTCACGGCCACCTCGCTGCCCTTCGTGGCCCCATTCTGCCCTCAATGGCGCCGTCGTTGCCCTCTGCGGCCCCGAATGCGAATGCGGTTCGTGGGCCCTCTGTGGCCACGCTTTATATGCCCTTCGTGGCCCCCACTCGGTCGCGCCCTTCGTGGCCCAATACGCATGCCCTTCGTGGCCCCGCTGTCCCCCATTCGTGTCCCCCTTGCTCTTCTTCGTGGCCCCATCACTGCCCTTTGTGGCGCCGCTGTCGCCTCTTCTGGTCCCATGTGTACGCGGTTCGTGCCCCCCGCTCGTTCGCGCCCGTCGCGGCCTCGCCTGCATGCCCTTCGTGGCCCCGCTGTCGCCCTCCGTGGCCCCTTCGCTGCCCTCCGTGGTCCACCCTCCTCCCTCCCCATTGTCCCGTCCTTCCATCCGTTCTCCATTCCCCCGCCCTAAGGGCTGCACGCAATACACGTTGCAAGTAAGAAAGACATACCCCTAATGGGGGTACGATCGCAAGCGAAGCGGGTGGGTATCGAGGGTTCGGGATAGACGTGTTGAATGGCACACGAGAAGACAAGAGCGAACAGTTTTAAAAGATGGTGTTGGTGGTGGTGTCGTTGCTGGTGGTGGTGGTGTTGGTGGTGTTGTTGATGTTGGTACTGCTGCTGTTGGCGTTGCTGTTGTTGTTGTGCTGTTGCTGTTGCTGTTGGTGGTGGTTGGTGTTGCTATTGGTGGTTGTTGCTGCTGGTGTTGTTTATGGTGTCGTTGATGTTGTTGCTGCTGCTGACATTGCGGGTGTTGTTGGTGTTGTTGTTGGTGGTGTTGTTGGCGTCATTAAAGTTGTTGTGTGTTGTTGTTGGTGTTGACATGTGTTGTATTATGGTTGTCGTTGCTGTCGCCACCCCCCCCCCCCCCGCGACCCGGCCCGCGATCCATCCGCGACCCACCTGCGACCCACCTCACGACCCTCCCGCTACCCACCTACGACCCACCCGCGATCCACCCGCGACCCACCCCGCGACCCGCTCACATTGCTTTGATGAGAAAATCGGCGCCTGCGGCGGGCTCGTTGCATAATTTGTAAAAATGTTGGCGCCTGCGGCGAGCTTCTTCAGAGCCTCGCAGACTGCCGACGCCCCCGCCGCCCCATTACTCTTACCCGCAATTGCGGGATGCTACGTCTTACTACGCCGGCTAGGAGTGCAGCTGGAGTTGCACATGGCAACATAGAAGCAGATCAAGAGCAGAGAACGAATAGAAACAGAGCAGACTTGCGTAAAACGAACTTTCGAGTCCTTGAAATCGAATAGGACTGCTTCGGACGTCCAATTATCGTGCATGCTTCGGATTCGCGCGTGTCTTTGTTGCTCGATGATCCAGGATGCTCCTCGATGGTGCCCACCGAGAACAAATGCACACGTCCGAGCGATGTCGAGGTGGATGCGTACCAGTGTCCCCGCTAGCTCTTAAGCCATCGCTCTGACGCACAGCCTTGCATGCAGGCATCGCCCGGCTCGAAACAACACAAAGTACGATGTCGAAACGGGGAGCATCTCATAAGTCCTCATGCTCGCAGCCTCCAAGAATCAGTAAACTTGGCGCCGCGCACAGAAAGCGAGAGAGAGAGAGAGCTGAGCATGTGCGTGCGTATCAAGACTCAAGCGCGACACAGCACAGACTACAAAGATGAGCAGGAAGGGAAGGAGCATGGAGAGCAACGATCATCCCGCTGGAATGGTCGACGAACACTGCTTAACAAATTGAGTCGTTGGCCTGTCCAACATCGCCCTTTCTCCGTGCCAGCCGCACCGGACGGCTGTACCCGAGTACACGGATCGGATGAGCGCCGCAGGGGTCGACGAGTTCAGCGATGCTAGGGGAGGAGATGTGTTTTTTTAATCTCGCGCCACTTGATGCGCTTCTCGGACAACCGTGGGAGCACGTGGCCGAAAAACAGGTAAAGCACTCCGATGCAGCAGCGCTCACAGCGGACAGCTGCGTGCACGGAGCGGCTGCGCGCCGACGGCCAAAGTGGAGTTTCGCGACCAGTGTACCTTCGCCGTCCTCTTCGTCCTCCTCCTGCTCCTCCTCCTCCTCCTCGCTCCGCTCGGCTGCGAGCGAAGAGGGGGAAGTGAGAAGAGGCGCGCCTTGTCAGGAGGCTCCGAAGTCCCCAGCCTTCTGAAGAGTTTTCTAAGCCGTCCCCAGAGATACGGAAAACTTCTCGGAATACGCGAGGGCTTCTGAGAAGCCCAGCCGCCCTCCGAGAAGGCCTTCTCCTTCTGACATGCCCCTCTCGCTCGCTGCCGATCCTCATCCTACTGCTCGAACTCCTCCTCCTGCACCTACCTCTCCCGACAGGGGAAAGCACGGGACTGAGCCAGCAGTATCGGGAGCGGCAAAGAGGGGGGTGTCCAAGAGCGGGGGGTGCAAATCATGACCGGCGGCATGTGCGCGGCCCAGCGGGGGGGCCAGGGACGTAATGGAATAAGAAGAGGCGCCATGAAATCTGAGGAAATATCATGGCCCCCGCCATGATATCCACCCCCCCCCCTAGTCATCACCCCCCTCTTTTCCGCCCCCGACAGTATGCACTCTCCAGCGTCACCCTGCGCCAGGACGCCTGGCCATGCGCCAGGGGCCCTGCGCTGGGCTGCTGCAGTTGGCGCCTCAGAGAACGCACAAAAAAAGCATGCTCGGATGCCGCCCAATGGCAGACAACGAGGAGCGCTGGAGCGCGTGAGCAAAAGCGGAGGCCTAGTCGACCAGATGCCGCCTGCCAGCAGAGGGAGGAGGAGGAGGAGGAGGAGGAGGAGGAGGAGGAGGAGGAGGAGGAAGAAGAGGGGGAGCACTGGAGCAAAAAAGAGACCGTTCTATCGCGTGAGCGGAAGCGGAGGCCTTGTCGACCACGCCGCCGCTGCGGTGCCATCCACAGCTCGCCGTCGGACGCGCACGGTAAAGACTGCAAGCCGCGAGCGGAGGGAACGGAACGCCCGGCAGACATGGAGCTTCGAAGGCTGGTCCGCCACAACGGGGAAGTGTGCCTGCCTTGTGGAGGCTTGGAAACAGGCACTGACACCAAAACAGGGGGTCGCGTTCACCAGGGGAGGATGCTCCTAGACCCTGGTGCGGGTGGCTATCTTTCGGTCACCCAAGAAGCCCAGGTATGACCACCATCGCCGGGATCAAGATCATCTTCCCTCGGTCGCGGCAGACCGCCGGTACTGGTGTTGGTGTCAACCTCTAGGCCTCCAATCGTGCGCTTGCTCGCGCGTGCGCCGTGCGCGGAGGCAGGAGGACCAGCGCCAGAAGCTGCGAGGCTGGCCACGGGCAACAGAGTCCGTCGCATCAGCTGCGCGGCTGACCTGTGGGGGCAGCAGCTCGAAACACACGCAGTGTCTGCACCTCGGTCCCTGTGCGGCATCGCCTGGCTGCGTGGCGGACGTATTGGGGAGAGCAAAAGGATGCCGCTACTCCCCGGACCTCTCCCACAGTGCGTTCTGACCAGGATTTCGAGGCGAATCCAGCGGTGGTGGTGAGGGCCGCCCAGGACGCCCAAAAAGGGGAAAACGAGGGAAGGGTAGAGGTACGGGTACCTTTGTCCTCCTCTGAGGTATACGCAACACGTCCCCATGTGATTGTAAGGGTACCTGGAGCCACAGCACTGCCAGAAGGAACTCTCAGTATGAGGAGCGAAAGGGGGCTTCCCGGGCCACGGCGAGCCACGACCGCGATCAGGTTCCCCTCCTCCTCCTCGTCCTCCTCCTCCCCCTCCTCCTCCCCCTCCTCCTCCCCCTCCTCCTCCTCCTGAGGAGCGTCACGGAAGCCCAGAGCCCCTCCTCCTCCTCCTCCCCATCCTCCTCCTCCTCCTCCTCCTCCTCCTCCTCACTCTCCTCCTCCTCCTCCTCCTCCTCCTCCTCCTCCTCCTCCTCCTCCTCCTCCTGAGGAGCGTCACGGAAGCCCAGAGCCCCTCCTGAGCCCAAAGCGGTCCGCATTCGACGTCTTGACTGTACAGTCTGGCCACCACGTGGAGCTCTGCGGTGCTCACGACGGGGACGTCTGAAGCATCCTCCTGGAGGAACGAAGCAGGACTGCCCGTTTGCCTGAAGTTGCTTAGGGTGCGCCCCCGCCAGGCCCGAAAGCCTTGCTTCTGCCACCCCGACACGTGCAGCCTCAGCCGCTGGGTGCCCAGGAGCACGGAAGGGGACTTCGCTCCCGACGCCTCGAGCCTTCATAGAAACAATAGATGCCTTCGCCCTCCCACGTCAACGGCTCCCAGTTGTAACCACACCAGCCCCATGGGCTGCCGTGGTCTAAGGCGCTTTCTCGTCCAACCCCGTTTCTTCTCCTCCGATGAGGGCCTTTCCCACTCCCCCACACCCCCTCCCACTAGGTCTACACGGAGTCACGGGAGAGAGGGGCCCGACCAGGTAGGGCGTCCAAGATCGACGAAAGTGGATCCAATACGGGTCGAAGGACCCCAAGATGGCCTCTAAGGATATTCAAAATATCCCACGATTGCCCAAGATAGGTTTCCAAAGTTCCTCAAGAGACCCCAAGACCGATTGAAGCCAGCTCCGAGCTGCCGCCGGGTCTCCCCAGTATAACCCGCAAAAAATACCCTGTGAGACGTACCCACCCATGGACGTACCCAACCATGTTATCATGGACAATCAACTTGATGTGTAAGCTACTTGGGACACGCGCCTATGGCATGATGCGCAGGAGAACCATACAAGAACGAGGGGCGACAGCTACAGGCTCGAAGAGGACATGGGGAGTCGGGAACGCAGAGCAGGAGAAAAACGTGCGGGAAGCCGAACCATCAGCACGGCAGCAGCAGAGGGAAGGTGACTGCAGGAGGAGAACAAGGACGAAAGCGGCGTCTAATGTGAGTCTGCGGTGGGTACCCATTGTGCTGTGCCCCTCAGCAGCCCTCGAAAGTGGCGACAGTTTCACAGATCGCAGCCCCCCAGGGATGGCGAGGTCGAATTTGAGCCTGCGGTGGGTACATACTGTGCTGGGCCCCCCAGCAGGCCCTCGAAAGTGGCGACAGTTTCACAGATCGCAGCCCCCCAGGGATGGCGAGGTCTAATTTGAGTCCGCGGTGGGTACCCACTGTGCTGGGCCCCCAGCAGGCCTCGAAAGTGGCGACAGTTTCACAGATCGCAGCCCCCCAGGGATGGCGAGGTCTCATTTGAATCTGCCCGTGGCCCTCACTGTGCTGGGCCCCCCAGCAGGCCTCGAAAATGGCGGCAGTTTCGCAGATCGCAGCCCCCCAGGGATGGCGAGGTCTAATTTGACTCCGCGCGTGGCCCTCACTGTGCTGGGCCCCCCAGCAGGCCTCGAAAGTGGCGACAGTTTCACAGATCGCAGCCCCCCAGGGATGGCGAGGTCTATTTTGGGTCCGCGCGTGGCGTCACTGTGCTGGGCCCCCCAGCAGGCCTCGAAAGTGGCGACAGTTTCACAGATCGCAGCCCCCCAGGGATGGCGAGGTCCAATTTGAGTCCGCGGTGAATACCCACTGTGCTGGGCCCCTCAGCAGCCCTCGAAAGTGGCGACAGTTTCACAGATCGCAGCCCCCCAGGGATGGCGAGGTCTAATTTGAGCCCGCGGTGGGTACCCACTGTGCTGGGCCCCCCAGCAGCCCTCGAAAGTGGCGACAGTTTCACAGATCGCAGCCCCCCAGGGATGGCGAGGCCTAATTTGAGTCCGCGGTGGGTACCCACTGTGCTGGACCCCCCAGCAGGCCTCGAAATTGGCGACAGTTTCACAGATCGCAGCCCCCCAGGGATGGCGAGGTCTAATTTGAGTCCGCGGTGTGTACCCACTGTGCTGGGCCCCCCAGCAGCCCTCGAAAGTGGCGACAGTTTCACAGATCGCAGCCCCCCAGGGATGGCGGTTCAATTTGAGTCGCGGTGTGTACTACTGTGCTGGCCCCGCTGACAGGGTTTGGGGATGAAGGAGGGAGAGAATAGACACAAGGCGCGGGCCAGCAGGCCTCGAATGAGTCGACAGTTTCGCAGATCGCAGCCCCCCAGGGATGGCGAGGTCTAATTTGAATCTGCCCGTGGCCCTCACTGTGCTGGGCCCACCAGCAGGCCTCGAAAATGGCGACAGTTTCGCAGATCGCAGCCCCCCAGGGATGGCGAGGTCTAATTTGAGACCGCGGTGTGTACCCACTGTGCTGGGCCCCCCAGCAGGCCTCGAAAGTGGCGACAGGTTCACAGATCGCAGCCCCCCAGGGATGGCGAGGTCTAATTTGAGTCCGCCGTGTGTACCCACTGTGCTGGGCCCCCCAGCAGGCCTCGAAAGTGGCGACAGTTTCACAGATCGCAGCCCCCCAGGGATGGCGAGGTCTAATTTGAGTCCGCCGTGTGTACCCTCTGTGCTGGGCCCCCCAGCAGGCCTCGAAAGTGGCGACAGTTTCACAGATCGCAGCCCCCCAGCTGGCACGCAGCGACGAGCGCGGCGAAAGGCAGGGGGGAAGAGAGGGACGGGAGGGGGTAGGAAGGAGACGCGCGAGCAGTGCTCTTTTCAAAACGAGAACCCAACGCAGGAGGGTTGGGAAATAAATTCGCTTCTGATGGGCTTTGGGTCCTCGAGATAGCTGCAGGATGGCCCAAGAAAGCCCAGGGAGGAACCCAAGAGGGCTCCAAGACGGCCCCAAGAGCGCCCAATAGTGAACAATTCTCTTTCGGCGTTTTGACATTGGGCGGAAGGGGGGGGGTCTGGCCCCGGACCTCTGCTTAATGCGACTGTTTGCTACAGCGCATCATATGGAGGAGGCTCCACCTGCTTGAAACAAGCGCCAATCAAAACCAAGATCTGCTCCATGGGGGGGAGGGGGCGCGAGGGCCCGCGCCAATCGGCAAAACAATGAATACTCTCAGACCTGGGACAGAAGAACACCCCTCAAGAACATGAGACCCTCCGCTGGCCCAAACTGAAGAACATTGAAGGGTGCCCTCCCCAAGGATGCACAAGAACATCCAACGAACACGAGGAACATTAGGGTACCCTCCCCGAGCCGACCTCGATCTTATACCCAGGTCCGACTGTAAGAGAACGACCACATAGCGCCCCAAGAAGGCCCCAGGAGGCGACTGTTCGGGCCCAAAAGGGATGAGGCGAATGTCGCACCCACCATTCACCCAAAGCCAGAATCATTGAACAGCCACAGGTTATCCAAAAGCCAAAACCAAAAAATCGTTGAAGAGCCATAGGTTGAAAAAAAACACCCACCCTTCACCCACCAGTCACCCAGAAGACACAGGTTGTCCAAAAGCTTAATGTCATACCCACCCTTCACCCCAAGCCAAAATCACTGAGAAGCTACAGGCTGTCCAAACCAGACAAGTGTATATCAGGAGCACGATCTGGAAGCAGTGGTGACAAGATGGCTCCGCGATGGTCTTAGATAGCTCGAGGTGGCCTCAAAGATCCTCCAGCACGCCTCCACGAGGCCACAGGAACACCCCCAGATGGCTCCGAGTGGCCACGGAGCGCCCCGGGAAGACCCCCGAGAGGCCCTAGCCCTTCGAGCACCTGGAGAACCAATCGACGCTTGCCTTCTCGCCGTTTGGCCTCCGAGGCCCCGGTATCGCCAGCCGCTCGCGCGGGAGAGCCCCGAGAGGCCCAGGAGAGATGGCCCCAAGAACGCTCCAAGAGTGCCCCGGGGCGGCTCTAAGAGGCCACAGGTCGGGCTCCGACGGAACAAGGCTGTCTAAGGATCCCCCTGCGCTGCTCGTCGCCGCCGCCGTCGTCGCCGTCGTCGTCGTAGTCTCCACCCTCGCCCTGCTCATGCCAATTCCACTGCCGGGTATGCTCGGATGAATTCCGAGTTTGGGCGTGACGGCTGGCTCGTCCGTCTGATCCACTGGATGCTCCTACCCCTCCTTCAGTACTGTAACTCAACCCCCCTGGCGATCGCTTCTAGATGGGCTGGTGGGATAGGCGAGACATCAAACTTAACGAAACCCATGATCCGCGTTCCAAGGGTCATGGCCCGTGAAACAGTAGATGTTGCCCTGTATGCCACGGTCGCTGCTCGCGCAGCATGCTAGATGTTCATTCCCAGGGCCTCCGTTTTCCGAAAACCACGACCGCTCGCATACCCCACTCATCTCCTAAGATC